GTGTGTGCTCGGTGTACGAGGGGCTTCAAAAAGTTTGTGAAAAAAATCCCTAACTAAGACATGGTTTTGAAGGATTTTGATTTCAGTAAACCTAAACATTCTTGTACCAATGTTTTTTAACATGTTCAAACATGGAGCCTTAAAATGCTGTCTGAGTATAATTGAGGGTCTTGTGATCTGAACCATGTCAGAGCAACTCTTTTTACATTTTCAACTGATGGAAAATTGATACCTTTCAATGATTTTTTCAAAACAAAAGGAGTCAGATGGGCTATGTCGGATGTTTGTCAACATCAAAATCACATAGCACAGCTCTTGCTGAGCACTGTCAGCAGATGCATTTTGGTGGAAGAGGGCGCATTGATGCAATTTTCCAGAGCGTTTTTCCAAGATTTTTTGGGACTGTTTTCTCAAAACGCTTTCATAATACACAGATGTAAATGTCTTCTTGATCTCGAGGAAAGTCAACTAGCAAATCCTCTTGCATCCCAGAAGGCGGTGGCCATGACCTTTCCTCTGAATGCTCAGATTTTGCTTTGACTGTCCACTTCTACCCCAGGCCAGCCACTGCTTTTGAATTTTTCCTCAGGATCGTACCTGTGGAGCCATGTTTCATCCTGTCACAATTCTTCGCAGAAAGGCTTCAGAGTCCCCGTCCCACTTGTTTAACATTTCCATTGAAAGATCTGCTCTCGTTTGCTGCTGATCTGGGCACAATAGCCCAAGGACCCAGCTAGCGAAAAGCTTGCTTAGTCCCAAACTCTCCACAAGATTTGTGTGTGCAGAACCCATGGAGATGTTGAGTGTATCTGCTACTGATTCAGTGGTTATTCATCTATCCTTTTCAATCAAGTCACAAACAGCATCAGTGTTTTCCTCACAAACTGACATTGTTGGCCTACCACTGTGGGGCTCATCTTCAACTTTGCTTTTTCTACTTCTGAAGTGACTTATCCATTTGTAGGTTGTTGCATTTGGGGCATTATCACAATAAACTTGTTTCAGAGTGACAATTATTTGCCTATTCTCCCAACCAAGTTTCACCGTGAACTTTGTTTGTTCTGGTCACGATTTTGGTGGATTCCATATTACTTGAAAGGTGCCTGTGTTATTACCTGCATTTAAGGGTTCATGTTTGAATATGTTATAACACATTGGTACAAGAATGTTCAGGTGCATTGAGAAAAAATCCTGCAAAACTATTTTTAGTTATGGACTTTTTCCACAAATTTTTGAAGCCTCCTCTTGTGTAATGTAGAGAAATAGCTATAGATAGATAGATAGATAATAGAATAGATATATATAGATATATAATATAATATAATATATAGATAATATATATATATAAATATATATATATACACATACAATATAACACAAATAAATATATATAACATATATATATATCACATATAGATATATATATATATCATATATATATATATATAATATATAATACACAATATAGAATATATACATATATAATAATATTACATATATAGATTTATATATACAGTGAGGTAGTGAGAAACTGCTTATTCAGAACATGATCCTTTTTGTCTTTTGTTTGTAGTATTTTTAGTCTTTTATGGAATGGTATGAGATTTGTCTTACGAATTTAGATCCATGAAGATGATTGTTTCAGCTTTCAAACAAATAAAAAGTGTGTTCATGTTTGGTTTTGATGCATATTATGGAGTTTTATTTATTTTTCTTTTCATTGTGTCTGGCTCCTAGACTTTTTTTCTGGCTCCGAACATTATTTCTTATTTGTCTGTTGTCTCGAACTTTTTAATTTTTTTTTTTTTTTTTCGAAGAAAAGTACTCAAGAATTTACATTCATCGTCTACATTACAGACACGGCAAGACCACCCTCCTGCGTCACATCCAGTCGAGAGCGCTCAACATTCCTCCAAACATTGACGTTCTTTACTGTGAACAGGTAACCTTATGGTGCTTTTTTTCATATATCAGGTAATTCTTTTATATGATTGTAGGGTGCTAAGTAAAGCTTATCAAATAGATAGTTGCAGAAAGTGAATGATATTGTCAAATCCCTGGATGTGCTGTGTTTTTCTTTTTCTTTTCCTCCTTCCTTTTTCTTTTTTTCAAATATAGTAAAGCCTTAAGGTTTTAGGGGGGCATATCTTTCAGTCCTAACTACAGTGCTGACAATGCAACCATAGCCACTGTCACTACACAGGGTTTTCAGGAACTGATTATGTCATGAATAAAAAGTCTCTTATTAGAAAGTGAACAGTGCCAGAGGGTGAAGCACATGTTATTGTGGATCAGTCAAGTCCAGATTTCTTGAATGAGTTGTTGTTTTCATTCTACTAGTAGTAGTAGCAGTTGTAAAAGCTTTGACTCTCCCTACTTTTTGAAAATTTAGTTTAGTTTACCCTTTTCTATAGGTAATACTGCCCCACCTTTGATTTGTGTACGTGTGGCTGTGTACATTTATGTGCACTCCTTTTTCTGAGTGTGCTTGGAAGATGGCTTGTATGTCAGTATTTGCTTGTGTATATTAGTAACTTCTCTCAAGAACCCTCCCTCCTTCCCCTGCAGGAAGTTATTGCGGACGACACACCTGCCATTGATGTGGTTCTCCAAGCGGACCAGAAGCGCCTGGACCTCATCAAGCGGAGGGACCAGCTAGAGGCCGACATGAAGAAGAAGAGCAAAAACGTGGACATGGATGAGCTTCAGGAGGTTTATGACGAGCTCAAGGCCATTGATGCCGATAAGGCTGAGCCCAAGGCCAGGAGGTAGGTGCTTCGTACTTTTATATTTTCCTCTTTGATTTTCCTTAAGTTGGCTCTGTTTCAGATATTTCCATATGAATTCTATGGAAGATGAAATAAAATGAAATAAAATGAAATTCAATGCTAAATCTTCTCTCCATCCCATCACAGAATCTTAGCTGGTCTGGGCTTCACACGAGAAATGCAGGGGCGTGCCACCAAAAACTTCTCTGGAGGCTGGCGTATGAGAGTTTCTCTAGCCAGGGCCCTCTTCATCGAACCCACACTGCTCATGCTTGACGAACCTACCAACCACTTGGATCTCAATGCCGTCATCTGGCTTGATAACTACCTGCAGGTGATTTTTTTCTTGCTTTTCTTTTCTCTTCTTCGCTTCTCTTCTCTTCTGTCACTCAATCCCCTTTTTGTTGATGTACATCCACGGTATTTTTTTCTTTTTTCATTTTCCTGAGAGTGTAATGAGAAACCTCAAAGGATGAGAAATATGAAAATGAAGTAGTGGTAGGTAACTATTTTTACAGTATGTCTATTGTTGACTGCACATGTCGAAACATAAACATACACTAATATTATTTGGCCATATGTGTGACAACTTACAGCACTCTTTTTTTCTTTTTTCCTTTCTTGATGCTAAGATACTGTGTGGAATGTCAAATATATACATGCTCATTAAAGGCGTCTGTATTTGTATCTAGAGTTAACTTTCCAACTTCCTTTTCACTTTTGTTTATTTTATTTATTTTTATTTATTTATTTTTTTATTTATTTTACGTACTATTACACGTTCTTATTTGTATTATTCATTTCAGTTTTACTTTCATTTACTTTATCAACAGCCATTGGTAAAGTAGGTAACGGAAATAATCCTCTAAATATCTCCTTACAGGGATGGAAGAAGCCTTGGTAGTCTCTACGACCAGTCTTTCTCGACACGTGTGCACAGACATTATTCACTTAGACCAGCATAAACTTCATTACTATAAGGGAAATTATTCTATGTTCAAGAAGGTGAGTAGAGGTAGTACTTTGTGTGTCTGGCTGTCTGCGTCTGTCTGTGTGTGTCTCTGTTTGTCTCTCTTTCTGATGAATTTTAGTTGAGAGGATGGTTGTTTGTACTTGTTCATCATTTTATAAATCCAAGGATGATTTTGGAAATTTAGTTGGTTTGGTAAATGTCTAACCTTACACAAGGCTATTCTTGAATTTGAGGATTATATATGTAATTGAAATCATTACCAATTTCAAGACAAAAAGAAGTTAGTCCTCTTTACACACCATTGAATGTATTGTATAAAATTAATGTTATTAGATTGGCAAATATTTCACTGATGATGGATATCAAATTATGTCCAAAGCCCAGTTCCTAGCACTGGGAATGATACCTCAGAAGGCTGGCCTTGAGCCAGAGAAGCCAGATTGGACTTTGAAGCTACTACCCAAACATCACCATGCTTCATCTGAAATTTTATCTTTAACGAATAAGTTACAGAAGTTGGAGTCCAATCAGATATTGCTACATGTGTGGGTGTGCATGCTTGTGTATTTCTTTTTGTGTAAACATTGCAATATGCTGTATGCAATCCACTCATAACGGTTTCTTTTTGCCAAACAGATGTTGGTGCAAAAGAGAAGAGAGCAACTGAAGGCCTACGAAAAGCAAGAGAAGAGAATCAAGGAGATGAAGTCTTCAGGAGCCACTAAGAAACAAGCTGTAAGTGTTATTACCTTTCGTCTAGGTGTAGTCATAACTCAAGATTTCATATGTTAGTAACACAAAGGGTATGACTCTAAAGCAAAATGTTAACTCGTTTACCGCATCTGTCCACAGGAAAAGAAGTCGAAGGAAGCGCTGACTCGCAAGCAGGAGAAGAACAGGGCCAAGAGCAAGAAGAACGACGACGAGGACGGCCCCACGGAGTTGTTAGAGAAGCCGCAGGAGTACATAGTGAAGTTCAAGTTCCCAGAGCCGCCCCCGTTGCAACCTCCAATCCTCGGTCTTTATAATGTTAGCTTTTGGTACCCCGGCCACAAGCCCTTGTTTAAGGAAGTCGACTTCGGTATCGACATGGATAGCAGAGTGGCCATTGTCGGCCCTAATGGAGTGGGTAAGTCAACGTTCTTGAAGCTGCTGGTGAGCGACCTAACTCCCATGGAGGGCGAGGTGCGCAAGAACCACCGCCTCAAGATCGGCCGCTACGATCAGCACTCCGGCGAGCACCTGACGGCTGAGGAATCGCCTTCCGAGTATCTCATGCGTCTGTTCAACCTGCAGTACGAGAAGGCGAGGAAGGCTTTGGGCACGTTTGGACTGGCATCCCACGCACACACACCATCAAGAACAAGGACTCGGGGAGGCGCGCGTGGCCCTGGCTGAGCTCTGCCTCTCCTCGCCCGACGTCCTCATCCTCGACGAGCCCACCAACAACCTCGACATCGAGAGCATCGACGCCCTCGCGGAGGCCATCAGCGACTTCCAGGGCGGCGTGATCATCGTGTCTCACGACGAGCGCCTCATCCGTGACACCGACTGCACGCTGTGGGTCATCGAGGAGCAGACCATCAACGAGATCGACGGCGGCTTCGACGATTACCGCAAGGAGCTGCTCGAGGAACTGGGCGAGGAAATCAACAACCCCAGCATCTCCGCCCACAACGCGGCCGATTTATAAACTTGGCATCTTAGCTATGTGACCAAGGGCTTTCTTAGGTTTTCTCATTATTCGGAGGACGAGGTGAACAGTGAACTTTGCGGTGGTATTATATATATATATTATTTTTCTCAGAGAGGTGTTACTTTTCTCGAAGATGTAACGCATTTCCAGTGACACGCATGTTATTCCTGTAATTAAACCTGTATAGGAATATGTGAATACGCCACACTATATTATGTATCTTGTATTCTATAAACGATCGAAACAGAAATAAAATATCTTGCTTTTTATTGTGTTTTTCATGATTTAAGTTGCATTTACCTGTTATGCTTAAAAGTCATGTTTACAGGCAGGATATCTTTTATTATTTTTGTTTTTTTTAGATATTTCTTTTTACTTTATTCTCGTTTTGGTCTATTTTTTCAGACCCACTTGGCATTGCTAAACTGTTGAGAATTATCAGCCAGAATTATACAATTATCATGAATTTTAATTACCTAATGTAAGTGTAGGTTATTCTTGCGAATATATTACTTTAATAAAATGTGTTGGTCATATTTATTGACTCATGCCATTATGGAAACTCAGATTCCGGTCCAAAATAATCAGCCATTGTGTATATACAGTTATGAATAATGTTAAGGTCCATTATTTTGTTATTAAAAAGACATACAAGTTTAGTTGTTTTGATAATCATTAATCAGATGGCAGTTAAGACACACTTTAATGGGTAGCGTATATGTTAAAGAGAAGAAATGGATATGAAATGAGACACATATCAAGAAAGGGTTTTTGCATTTTATAAAGAAACATTTTGTAGCAGAGTTTTTACGGGATTAATTAGTATTTTCATTATTTAGCGTACCCTATTGTATCGTCTACATTTGCTTTACTGAGGAAATGCAGATTATTTAGTAAATGAGGGGGGACGACTATATTCTTAATATTTTATAGCAACCTTGAGTACTTGGTATTTGATTGCAAAATGCATTAGTATTTTGTCTCTAGGAACAAGGCAAATCATTGAACCCCTCAGAATAATCCGTAAAACCATTTTATATTGAAACATTATCACCGATAGACGTAAAAACATCGACATATATTGTGTGTGTTGTGTGCGTGTGTTCGTGCGCAAAAGCAGACCAAATATCTAGAATATTTTATTGCATTTACTAAGATTTCCCTTTTAATCCATCTTTATCCAGAACATTTATTATTGATCTTATACTTAAATAAAACCGGACACAGATATAGCATAATCATATCCGTCATAGTCATTGTATTGTATTAAGTGAAATGAAAAAACGGCAATGTTCATCACAGAAAAATAGGGATATATATATATATATATATATATATATATATATATATATATATATATATATATATATATATATATATATATATATACATATACATAATGTATATAAACACGAGCGATTTTGAACTGTTTCCATAAATATTTTGCAGTTGATTATTTCTTGTCTTTTATTCAGGCAGATAAGAACATGTAGAAACTTAACCGAAGTTGACCTAACGTACAGTTCCACTTTACCCAGAGTTTTTCAGTAGCTTGTACACAGTGTCAAGGGAATATGATAACTGTATGCAAATATAAAACATTCGCGTTATATTAATAAAAGCAGAGAGTCGGAGTGTCACAGAAGGCTAGGATGCATTCTTTAGTGTGTCGAGACAGCAGAGGCAGAGAAACACAGTTCGTGTCCAGTGATGTTGACAGACCAATTGTTTATTAAATATTTTGTTAGTCTAAGCTTACATCTATAGCATAGGCATCGATATATTCACTTATATGCACTACAATAATGGGATAGAATGCAGTCTGAATAAGTCGACGGTCGTGTCATAGATGAAGGCTTAAACTGGCAAAACATTGGGTCTGAGTGTGAACGTAAGAAGTTGCAGGATGGAGAGCAGGTGAATGAAAGGGAACTTTGCTGGAGGGTTTGTTAGGGGAGGTAGATGTGTGACTCCACGAGAGACCCGTGCCCCGGGTGACGAGGGCGGAGCGGTGACGAGCACGACCGTCGTCTGTCTGCCGTCTGCCGCGTCGCCGTCTGCTCTCCTCTCTTGTCCAACGACCGTGTCCTTTTTATGCTGGCTCTGAGGTATGTTCGTGTCAGCCTAGACAAAGGGCTTGCTCGAGGGGGAGATGTAGGTCACCTTGGGTCAACCAGACTCGGGCGAGGCAGGTGCGAATCGGCTGCCTCCTCCGATGAATGTAAACACGGAAGACTGCGACAGAAATGTACAGCTTCCGATTCGTTTACACTGAGGACCTCTGAAAGACCTAGCTTCACACAGGGACAGAGTCGAATCGAACAACAGCGAGACCCAAAAGCAGTGGAATTCCATACAGGAGACACCTTTTGCAACTGAGATAAAAACAAAATATTAGAGCAGATGAAATCACTGATAACGATAGAGGTCAACTGAATGTTTAAGGGTTGGTTGTCTTATTAAATTTACATCATAGATAAACAGATAGATTAAAGCTTTGGAGAGAATAATTAAACTCAAAAATACCCAAATTTCGCTACAAATTTGTATCAATAGAAGAAAAGAATGTTACTGACTTTTGTCAAATTATATATTATATTATATTATTATCATTATAGTAATAGTATCATCATTATAGTTGTATTATTAAATTTTGTTATCATCTTTATCATCACATTTTTGCTGTTATCTTTATCAACGTCACCATAATAAGTCCTTATAATCATTTTAATCATCATTGGTATAACTATTACCGTTATTAATTACCATTATCGCTAAAAGCCTACTTCCTCGGCCCATGCTGATATCAACGTGCAATTGCAAGACATAGCGGACTGCATAGTAGTAATCAAGAATCCTCAGCTGGTCTCCTTTTCCATGGGATGATGAAATCAGATCTGATGCGTTTTTTCATTAGTTTTTATTGTTATATTGTTCACTTTATACATCCATCCATCCATGCAAACACACAAAAGCATGACACACACACACACACGCACACACACACACACACACACACACACACACACACACACACACACAACACACACACACACACACACACACACACACACACACATACACACACGCACGCACACATACACACGCACGCACACACACACACACAGCCCACGTGTGTGCACGTATGTATTTGTGTGTGGATGTATGCACATGCACACGCACGCACGCACACACACACACACACACGTGCCCACGTGTGTGCACGTATGTATTTGTGTATGGATGTATGCATATAAGTGTACGCGCGTGTGAGACACGTCAGATATTTTTTAGACGAATTATAAAATTCTATAAAAGTTTCAGTGATATTAAAAGAGTACACATCTGTTTGAATATTTTATTTGTTTGCTGTTTTTGATTCATTCCTACAAAGTGACAGTTTTCTCAGGTGAATGGAAACATAAAAAGTAAGAAAAGAGGAAAAATCGGGAATGAGAAATTTGATTTAGCCAAAACCGTTTTTCTTTTTGGGGCAAAATTCGGGAACAGACCCCGAGCCTAAATATATTTCGGACTTACAAAACTTCTTTGAAAATTTGACGAATCAGTTTTCGAAATTTACGAAAGGTTATCAGAAAATATACCGAGGATTTCTTTTGATTTCATATCCTCTGCTTTTTTCGACAAAGTATCACATTACATCGAATGAAAAAGAAAATCAAAAAGGGTCGTTTGAAATAACGATGTATTTTGAGACTATCCAACCACGCACTATATTTTTAAGCATTCGCAAAAAATCTCAGTATGATCAGCAAATATTTCTACCATTGGTCTATTAGCAGCTCCGGGTAATTGCCAAAATCATTATTTGTGCAAATTTATTATCATTTAGCCATATTAGCGTTCGAGAAAGATCGATGAAAAATGGAAATGTTCAATACGGCTCTGATGATTATTTTTATATTTGTCACATGTTCTTTCTTCGTACTTTTATATATGTATGTAGACATATATATATATATATATATATATATATATATATATATATATATATATATATATATATATATATATATATATATATATGTGTGTGTGTGTGTGTGTGTGTGTGTGTGTGTGTGTGTGTGTGTGTGTGTGTGTGTGTGTGTGTGTGTGTGTGTGTGCGCGCGCGTGTGTGTGTGCATGTGAGGGTGTGTGGGTGTAAATTCTTACAAGGTTTCCAAAATTTCTGTCAATATATGAAAATCAATGGAATATTGATTTTGGCTTCGCATCTTTAAACCTCTTGCACGAAACTTCTTAGCTAGTGATTCCACATAAATCTGACTAAAGTATTGGTTTCAGAATCTGTTATTTAATTAGGAACAGGAAAGGGTTAACGTTGAAGATCATCTTTCTGAGAAGAGGAGGCTTTTGCGCACAAGGAGAATCTGAAAGGCATACATTGTTATCCTTCCTTCTTCCTCTTCTAATTCTCCTCCTTCTTCTTCTTCTTCTTCTTTTTCTTTTTTTTTCCTTCTCCTTCTTCTTCTTCCTCTTCTTCTTCCTTTTACTTCTATTTTTCCTTCTTTCCTTCTTCTTCTCTTATATACTTATACTTCTTGTTCTTCTTTTTCCTCTCTTCTCCTTCCTTCCTCTTCTTCTTTACTTCTTACTTCCTCTTTCTTTTTCTTCTCTACTTCCTTCTCATCTCTTCTTCCTCTTCTTCTTCTTCTTCGAAAGATCTTTATCTTTATGGACAAGATGTAACAACTGGTTATATAGATCCACTATAAGTACTGTATAAGGCCTCGCATTTTAATATGAATACAGAGGGAAGTATTACAACCTTTTTATCGGCAAGATTTTTTTTTAAAGATCATATATGATTTTCTTATCTAAAAGGCTTGATTGTAAACAGCATTTGATGTCGAACAAAACAACAGGTACCGTAAGAAAAGGATTATTTTTTCTCTCAACTTCGAATGGCAATATGGTATAAAACAGGATTCGATCCCACGTGAAGAAAAACAAAAGAGGATTTGGGGAACAGATTCCGAATCTTTTTCTTACAGTATCTCCGTTTCTTCACCTCATTTATTTTACATTTTACTGACCCTTGTGCATCAATCAACACAATTAATGGAATGTCAACTTTTACAAATGTAAAACGCTATTACGTACTACAGAATACACACTTCACAAACCAACAATAAAGCCACAATATGTCTCTACAATAAACAAAACCAAAAACAATAATACGTGAAAGAAAACGGAAAGTCGATTTCAAATAAAAATAAGGGCAAGATAGGGAAGGAGAAGAGGAAGGGAGAAATGAGGAAAATGAAAAACTAAGAGAAATGAAATATGACGATAGAGAGAAAAGAAGAAGGAAAAGAGAGAGACGAGGAAGATGAGACAAGAAAAGAAGAAACAAGAAAAGGAAAAAAAAAACAAGAGAGAGAGAAAAAAATAAATAAGAAAGAAAACAAAAGAACGAAAACGAACGAAAAAAAACACCACAACAAAAGCAAAAACGTAAAAAAACAGCAAAAAAACAAAAACAAAAAACACAACAACAAAAACAAATAACGTAAAAAAAACACAACACAAAAACAAATAACGTAAAAAAAACACAACAAAAAAACATTAACGTAAAACAAAAACAAAAACACACAAACAAAAAAAACAAAACAAATTAACGTAAAAAACAC